TAGGTTCCTAGGGACTAAAGATGGTTCTGTACATCTGTTGTGGTCCTTTAGCTTGCTTGACAGATACACTTCGATCGTTGCCCAATTATCGTTGAAAAGAGATGACCCAGAAAAGAAATGAATTATGAATATGGAAATTTAAGACTTTTCACTCGAAAAGAACTAAGCTCTATTCGTCTGAAGGGGAAAAAGAAACGAGCTGCAAGAATGAATAGTTTGTTCATTGGTGTCAAGTGAATGAATAAAGCATGTATAATACCAAGAGCATGCAGTGGACTGTCAATGCGGAAATCAGATAAGTATACATATAACAAATATTGGTCAAAAGATTTAAGTGCTCCTATTAGACTGCCGCACATGATCCATGATGATAACCGCACATGAAATTTAATTTTTAAATTTTGAATTTAAAGTGCACGTACATGTCAAGACTTGGTGAGCAATATTAAACTTTTCGAAGGCTTCATTTTTATGAAATGCATTTTAGATTTTTTTGTCCCAAAAATTAAATGGCATTTCGATTTGACATATTTGGGTTCATTGGCCTGTCGTTCCGTTCGGTCTGAACAAGTGAGTAAGCTTATGTGCAATAATATTCCAAGTCAACTTATGTGATACTTGAACATCAATCTTTATCATATAATAATAAAAAAGTCATTTATTTAAATATTGGACAATAAATTTATCAAATTAATACATTGCATTTACAACATTCACAACTATGGACTCTAGTCATTAAATGAAATAGATATAAACATTTAAGTTGTTCTTTATTGTATAGTAAGTCAATCTCAATTCATATATTATACCATTATATTTTATTTCATCATATTTCCAACGCACCATACAAAGAACACAACTTTGCCATGATTTCTGTGTTTTTCTTTTTACTCCAGCGGGCGTCTGGGGGAGGGGGCCGGGGGAACATGGAGTAATCTAGGCTGAAACTTACTCCATTGAGTTTCGAAATCGAGACCTCCCGTAAAGGAGAGCGAGTCGGCGACCAGCTGGGCTGGACCGCTTCCTATGTCATGAATTCTGTGTAGTAACAATTATAAAGGTAGTATTACGGAGTAACTTTTATTACAAAATATATTACATAAGACGATTTACTTATTGATTATTTCTACTAGGTACTATTCTATAGTAAAAATAGACAAATAGTTGTAGATTGGGAAATTATTATAAATCCTAAATAGGACTAAAAACGTTTGTGTATTTCAAAATATGGCTATTATGTTTTTATTCCCTAAATATGAGTAATTACTGTCATGTTTTGATAGTACCAGACTATAAACATGACAGTATTTTTCAAACATGACAGTATTTACTCTTATTTAGGGAATTAAAACATGGCAACCTTATTTTGGAATTTTCAATCTTTTTTACTCTTATTTCGAGAATTTTTCCCTTGTAGGTTCTAACTCATTAACACAGAACGGTTCTGTGTTAATGACTATATGTGTTTGTTATTTTACGTAATAGTCCTGGGTTGTTTAAAACTTTGTCAAATTTGACTGACACGAGAATTAATAAAGTAAAAAATGTGTGGTTGATGTTTGTGCAAAGGAGAGAAATTAACTGAAAACACGAATTCGTTACAAAATGCCAAGAAAAGTGATTTTTCACATATACTACAATTAATTTAATCATTTACTTGAGTAAACTATTAACTTAAGTACCTTGATTCACTTAATCTAAAAACTACTTTAGAGATAAAATATTAAAGTAAAAGTAGAGAAAGCAAGACTTAGCTTAAGATCGTTCGTAAACTGGGCTGGCCTTGAAGAAAGATAGTCCCTGTCTCCAGAGAGCTACTCAGACGGGACTGGCAAACTCGTTCCCAGGATAATCCTACATATGTTCTGGTCCTTTAACTTGCTTGATAGATACACTTCGACCGTTTCCCAATTATCGTTGAAAAGAGATGACCCGGAAAAGAAATGCTTTGAAATACTGCAATCCCTCTTTTGTTGGTGTTAATTGACTTTTCACTTTTAATACTTTTGATGAATCACCTTCAAACACGGATGGATTTGGGGTGACGGGGGGCGACCGTCCTCCTTAAACTTTCAAAATTTTCTATATTATTGTACGGGAATAGGGTCAAATAGACCCTCGAACTAACTTAAAAAGTGCAAATTACCTCTTATATAGGAGGCTCTGTCCGCCCGTCACCATTTGGGACATTTTACGGTGGAATGTTTTGATAAAATTTTTTGATTATCTTCTTCATTAACTCTAGTTTAATCATACCAAATTTCAAGTAAAAATCCGATCGGAAAGGCAGTCAAATGAATTTTTGAAGATAACTGTGCAGTTAAACAGCGCAGTACATTTCAGAAAATCATTTGACTGTCTTCCCGGTTGAATTTTTATCTGAAATTTGGTATGGGTAAACTAGAATTAATTAAAAAGTTTCTCAAAAAAATTAATCAAAAAATTCCCTCGGAAATTAATCAAACTTCAATGAGTCTTACATTATGTAATATTTAATTGGAAATTTAAAAGAAGAAACATCTAAAACAATTTACATGACTTAAACAAATAAACAGTAGAATCACTCATTGTTTAAGACTTATGATAGTCCTAGTTTTGTAAAGTTTAGTCATCTTTATTAGATAGTTAGTATTCGACTTTGTAAAATATCAAACGATATTAAATACCAAACACACTAGTTAAACGGTTTTTATATCATGTCAATTGAATCCAAAATATAAATATTTATTGACATTAAATTATATAGTTCATTTACTTCTGAATTACTTTCTAAAAATAATATATTGCATCGATAGTAGACTTTAACTTATTTTAGCATTAATACAAATAAATATTCACCGTATATATGAATTAGAAATATAATATTATTCTAACAATAATAATCTCATACATATTATTGTAATATTGGGAAAACTTCTCGTGACTCATGAACACCCTCTATGGTACACAAAAATTGTAATTCAAAAAACAATTCCTTATTCCGATAAGATTCATGTGAATAAACAAGGCATAACTTATTTAAAAAGTGTTGCTGGATGAGTATCTTTTAAATTTTTTATCTTCAAGTAATTTGATAAAATGTTATATATCTTGTTCTATTATCAAAAATTAGGGAGAACTATCAAATAAGCCATCGAACTTTCATAAAAAGTGCAAATAAGCCCTTTTATAGGAGGTTCTGTCCGGCCGTCGCCATTTAGGGAGGTTTCCGGTGGAATTTATTGATGAAAGTTTTGGAGTATCTTCTTCATTAAGACTAGTTTATTCATACCAAAGTTCAGCTACAAATTCAATCAGGAAGGCACCCAAATGAATTTTTAAAGATAACTGCGCAGTTAAACAGCGCAATATATTTCATAAAATCATTTGAATGCCTTCTCGATTGAATTTTGAGCTGAAATTATGTACGGGTAAACTAGTTTTAATGAAGAAGATGCTCAAAAAATTTCATCAAAAAATTCCACCGGAAACCGCCCTAAATGGTGACAATTGAACAAAGCCTTCTATAAAAGGGCTTATTTGCCATTTTTATGAAAGTTCGAGGACTTATTTGATAGTTCTCCCAATATTTTTTTTTAATTTGTCATTTCTTACGCTTTAATGTATCATCAATACTTTTTTCTAAAACACTTCAATTATAAAATCAAAGTTATTTTTTCTTTGTCTAAACTTAAAATGTAATCAATTTAGATGTAGTTGTGTATGTATTGATGGAATTCTTTTAAATAAAAAATTGCCGCAAAGCTCTACACTATCAAAAAGTTTCGCCTCACTACAGTGTGGGGGGGGGGGGGGGGGGGGTCGCTCCGCTACACTAGCGAAAAAAACTCACCCCTACCTTAACAAAAAAATTGCCCCCCTTGACTTGAAATCCCGGATCCGTCCATGCCTTCGAAGGACCTTTTGTAGTTTTGGCTTTAATACGTTTTAGTCTCTGCAAATATGACACACTTTATTTTAGGTCCTTCCGAAATATTTTATTTTATTTTCATCTTTGTTGTATACACTATTTTGTTTTTAGGTCATCTCTAATTCCGAAACTACTCTATTTACAAAAAAAATTGTGAGATGCATAATTCTACTAGAATAATTTAAATTTATCCTTTTTTATTTTTTTAGGATAATATGAGAGTTTAAAACTAAGAGCCCGTTTGGTGACCCCCTTTTTTGGCTTATCAGGCTTATCTTATCAGCCAGCTTTTTCACCAAACAAATAACTTTTGATTTCGCGCGTTGAATTTTGTAATAAGCAGAAAAAGTAAGATTGAAGTTACTTTTCTGGTTGTATTGGCTGAAGTTACTTTAAAGGATAATTTGAGCTATTTTTCATATAATTTTTTATTTAATTTATTAATAACAATATTTTAAATATAATTTTTTCATGAATTAGCAGAATCAGCCAATACAGCCACTTCAGCCAGAACTTCATAAATTTCAGCAGAATCAGCCAATTCAGCCAAATTTAGTGTTACCGAACGGGCTCTAAGTATTCACATTTTAAAAATATATACTAAAAACCTTCTATAAATAAATAAATAAATACTATGTTAATAACATGACAAAGAATTAGAGGGAATCTATTAGGTGGGATTATTTTGAGGTCAAACAGAAGTTATTATCATCGGTGATGGACTAAAATGAAAATAAACATAAATTGAAGAGACAATAAACAAAACAAAAATTACAAGGATGTAAAACAAAATGTACTATATTTACAGGGACTATTAGCATATTTAAACCTATATTTTTCTATGTTATTTTCTCTAAATATGGGTTCTTTGAGGGATAAATGTAGGAAGAGATGTTGTCGGCGGAATATAATGATTTGATACTAGTATTTCACCCGTGTGTTGCACGTGGTCTAATAATTTTATTAAAGATTATATTATAATTTATCACAGAAATGAGATTAACCATTACTAAATATATAATATAAAATATTTGAAATTTAATAAGCACACAATTTACAAATTATTGAATAATTTTTTGTAGACAACATTATTTACTATTTTTTTCTGAATACTCTTGTTCATCGTCATCAATCATCATTAAGAATGTCTCAATCATATGTTCACGAGTCCGGAGAATGATCTATATTTCTCATGATGTTCACCAAGATTATATTCTCTTCCTCACCGTCAAAATATCATGATTTACTGTTGTCCGCGGAAAAGGAATATGAAGGTCATCAAGTTGCAAATCTTCTTGTGAGATAGTAGTTCATGGAGCATACTTGAGATTTGATTGAGAACAAAAAAAATTGATCTATTTTATATTCTAGCTCAATCTTAACCCCTCGTTTATATTCTTCAAAATTTTGGATGGTGTGGAGTTGAACGCCAAGTGTAGGCGCCTAGCCGTGACCGCACAAGAAATCATTTCATTTCCATGGCGAAGGCTGGTGAGAGCAGTAAGAGTTCAAGATGGTCTCTTTCCGGGATGACCGCTCTTGTCACCGGAGGCACTCGTGGAATCGGGTACTTCATCAACCCTAACCTGTAACTAATTGAATTCAATGTCCATTTCGAATCATTAACATTTCTGGCCAAGTTCAGAACGTAGGTTTCATATTAAAATTTTCATTTTATCTGCTGATAGGCGCGCAATAGTGGAAGAACTCGCTGAATTGGGCGCTAGTGTATACACCTGTTCCAGAACGGAAGAAGAGCTGAACCAGAGCTTGCAGCATTGGGCTTCTAAAGGCCTCAAAGTATCTGGTTCCGTCTGCAATGCAACGTCCAAAGATCAGAGGTTGCTTCTCTTGCAGAAGGTTTCGTCTGCCTTCAATGGAAAGCTCAATATTCTGGTGAGTGTTCAACAGTATTCTTCTCAATGCGGTGGTTAATGTGAGAAAAGCAGAATGGAATATTCAAGGAGTATTAGGTATTCAATCTGCTGGATAATAGAAAAGATCAGAATAAAGTGTTGCTTGGCTGAAGGTATTATAAAATAATGATAATAATAATGACAATTGGTTCTTAAACCTTCTAAAGAATTGAGAATCACCCTCCAGATTACGCCAACACTCTAAAGAAAGCCTTTTTATTGATTTCATTTCTTTCTCATATTTAGTACTCTATGTCGACGTGTGTTTTTAATTAGACTAAACTGTTCTGGCGCGGTTTCTTTAATTAGACTAAACTGTGTATTTTACAACTGTCGAAGCATGGTCTGCTAAGTCTGGTCAAGTCTAGTCTAACTTGAAACCAGTTCGATTAAAAACATGCTTATACTAATTCTTGTGATAGAGCTCTTGTCTCTGGGTGTTCATTCTTTCTAGGCTGAGAGATAGTTGTGAGTATCGCACAATATTATGGGATCTTGTTCCGAAATTAAAAGGGACTCAGAGTGACGTATGTAGCTTATAATAGTTCGGATTTCTGGTAAGAATTTTGTTATCAAAGATTTTTATCACGATTCAGAACATGATCAAATGATTCATGATGCAAATCATTCTTTGAAAACTGTGGTCTTAAATTTGATCTTTTGTTCTCACCGGGGAGATCCCTGCCTTTCCAGTCAATATAATGGAAATTGAACATGTCTTTCCCTTTGAGCTTTTCTATATATGTATATATAAATTGACATCAATGAGTCAAGTAGTCAACTTCCTCACCTTCATTAGCACATGAATACCATCCCACAAACTTTTATTTCTAATGCTCAAAGACAGTATGAGCATGACACCAATAAGACGTGGTAGTATATGATCCGGTTTGAGGTTTACAATGTAGATGACAGAGTTATTTTGTTCCCTGATCATCATCATCATTACCCCAATGCCGCAAAGACTCCCACCTACGGTGGGGTAAAGAGGGTAGGATGTACGCAGTCTCACCCCTATACTAAAGAACAGAGAGACTGTTTCCGGTTGACCCATAGTGAAAATCGCGTCAAAAACTACATTGACTAACTGCTGCTTCATAAGAAAGAAGCACAAACAGTTTAGAGTTAATTCTTCCCTGATAATATACATATTTTTTTTGATAATTAAAATCAATATACTCCAAAACAATGCTAAAGTTCTATTGAATCATGAAAACCAAATTCAAAAATGACCAAAACTTATTACTCCGTATATAATATCAGAGTTGAAAACATTAAAGAGAACTCAGTTGACTACGTGAATAGTTTATGGAAACTTTAAACTGAGACAGAGGGAGTACCAGAGTAATAAGCATCAAAACTACTGTTGTTATTGTTAAAAACTAATTTGTTTTTCTTAAACTATAATCGCCTCTTTTTTAAAAGTAAGTCATATCAAACATTGTCTGTCTCATTGGGCTTCTACATTGCTTTTTTATTATTCTTGCCACAGATTAACAATGTCGGTACAAATATCCGGAAGCCCACAGCTGAGTATACTTCAGAAGACTATTCTCATATCATGGCTACAAACTTGGAATCCTCTTACCATCTGACTCAACTTGCTTACCCTCTCTTGAAAGCATCTGCAGTCGGATCCATTGTCTTTATTTCCTCTGTTGCTGGCTTGGAACACATATCTTCTGGATCAATTTATGGAGCCTCCAAAGGCAAGTTATCTTTAATTTACTACTCCTTCTAAAGCTTCTTGTACTTGATAAAAAGTAATGCTGGACCAAATCAATATGCAACTCTGTTGGCCTGTATCTGCAGGAGCTATAAATCAACTTACAAAGAATTTGGCTTGTGAGTGGGCAAAAGACAACATCAGGGTCAATGCTGTGGCCCCTTGGTATATCAAGACCTCACTTGTGGATCATGTAATATATTTTTCTCTCCGTCCATTACCCTTGCTATTCCTCTCTTGACACTTCATAAGAATATTGGCCTTGTACATTTTACTATTTTAGTGCCTCCCTCCGAAAAATAGTGTTGATTCTACTATTATGTGTTACCAACATTGTGTTTTCCTAACCTGTAAATCTATAGTAGTTGCAATTCAAACTTATCTCATTGACAATATACTCCGTATTAGACGGGATAGTCATCAACTCCAAGCAGTTCTAGTAAAAAGTTGTTTTTGCCCCCAAGTAAAAAAGTAAACCTCTAGACTCTAGTACCTAACTGCCTCTTCTTTTTGGCTAACTTACAACTGCATGAAATGGATCAAATGATGAAAACATATGAATATAGAATCTGGAAGGTTCCTAACTGTAGATTACCCTGTGTGGTTGAATATATGATCAGTTTTGTAAGGTTCTCTAATTTGTTACACAGTGAATATTAAACAATGTCACAAATGAAGAGGTTATTGGGCGCCTTAAGTAATCCTAATTTATGAGGGGTAGTCGTTAAATGTAGTACTCCTTCAGTCCATAAAAATATTCTTTTGTAGAATATTCGTTAAATTTGACTTGCATGATTAATAACAGATGACTTTGTTCATTAAATGAATTGAAAATTTTTCTTATAACTTCAATTGGGGTTTTGCAGTTGCTTGCTAACAAAGAGTTTTTGGGGAAGGTCATATCAAGAACGCCCCTAAGACGGCCAGGGAATCCCGAAGAGGTTTCTTCTGTGGTTGCTTTCCTTTGCCTTCCTTCAGCTTCTTACGTGACCGGGCAGGTCATTGCAGTTGATGGTGGTTTCACAGTGAATGGTTTTGAAAGTTAGAAGTTTGTTTGTATATTCAACTTTTCAACCACTATTTCTTTGGTTGCATGTGACGTACCAGATTTTAGGAAGATAAATACGGAGTATAATAATAATAGATGGGAAAAAAATAGATGAAGGGGAAAGTTGTTTGGCTTGTAAAGCACCTTTTGCATCTCACTTTCCCACTTCTTCTCTTTGATTGTATTTTAATGCCGTGATGCTGGTAATCTGACATTTTGGTCTCAATTCGGTAAACCCACTTTCCTGCTACCACACATTCAGGTGTACTTTTTTTTTATAATCCAGGTGTCGGGGCTTACGCTCCCATAATCATGGAGTCTATGAACTACCCTCCAAACCCTAGACAGTTAAGTCCAGATCTGATCACAGTCAGCCTCGTCAGTACTGGCTCCAAAGGACGAATCCAACAGGACTTACATCACCTTACAGGCTGCTCCTCCCACCACACGAATCCGTTACCTTCATTATCATTCTCTCTCTTCTCAGCCGCTGAGCAACTCCGTGAAGGTAGGGAGAATCATTGGGAGCAAGACCTCCCCCAGTCCCCCATCATCCTTGGTGGGAATTGAATCCAAGACCTCCCACAAAGGAGAGACGGGGGGTGGATGGTCATCCATTGGACTACATTCACTTTCCCTCAAGTGTACATTTTTTTATGAACGTCATTAGGACATTAGATAAAAGATTGTGGATGGAAATAAAGTAAAGTACTCTCTAGTTCCATTCTATAGAGTAATTTAATACTCCACTCCGTATTAAACAAAATAAGCTATATAGCGGCAATGGCATGGGGAAACCTTAGCCGCCACCTCCTCTTTTTCTCTTCTTTTCTTCTCCTCTTTCAAACTTCTTTGATTTCAATAATAGAAAAATATTTTCTTAATCAGTGTTTTCAGTTTTATTCATATGTTTCTTTCCCAACGTTGTTTGGAGGTATTATTTTCGGTAGCGAAATATCGTCTGCTGGATCCATATTCCCTGTCACTTTCGTTCGGGCGTTCTTGTGTGCTAAGAAGAGATTTGCGCTGATCTCTTCATCAATCAAAAACATGTTTTTCTTCTGCGATGATATTGAGATGGATCGCATACCTCTTGAACCACCATCGTTCCAGGAAGATGAAATCATTTGGTTTGCTTTCTTTTCGGTGGTTGGTGAAACTGGAACAAATTCTACAGTTGGCTCCTTACTAGGGTTGGATTCGGTTCGGGCCACCCGACCCGTGACCCGGCCCGGCCCGGTACTGTGCGGGCCCGGGACCGGCCCGGTCGGACGGTCCGGGACCGGGTATGGGCCCGAACCGGGGGGAAGGGGCGGGGCGGGCTCGGTTCAGCATATTTGTGACCCGGCCCGGCCGGGTCGGGCCCGGTCCCGGGTCCGGGTCTATTTTAAAAAAAAACTTTTTTTGTTTTTTGGCTACTAGCCGTTGAGGCCTTGGGGTGGGGGTGGGGACAACCCAAACGGCTATATAGCCGTTGGGTGGGGTAAAGGGGGGGTCCGGGGGGTTGGCTGGTAGGGGGTGGGGTGGGGGTGGGGGGGTAAAAAAACCTATAAATACTCCTACTCTTAAACACATTTTTTCATATCTCTTCTCCAATTCTTCCTAAATCCTATTCTTAACTCTCTACTCTCTAATTCTCTTATTCTCCAATATATTATATATCTACTCTCTAATTCTCTTCTCCAAGAAGTTAAGATGGAAAATCAAAATGCCATTATACGGTATAATTTTGATAAGCAGAAGGACCCGAAGACCGGGATGTGGTACACAATTTGCAAATGGTGCGAAAAAAAATGTATCATGGGGGCTTCAGGCGGATTCGGGATGGCAATCAAGCATATGAAGTCATGTGACAAAGCCAAAGGATCGGGAGGTGCGGGAAGTTCCGATTGATTACAATTTTCAAAATGTTTATCTCTTAAAGTTTGTTTTAATTTTCAAATGTAGTTCCTATTTCATTTCAAATAAATGCAATTGAAGTTTGTTTTTAATACTCGTATAAAACTATAAACTATAAAATATAAATTGTAAAAAAAAATTAACCGGCCCGGCCCGAACCGGACCCGACCCGTGATCCGGGCGGGTGGCCCGGCCCGAACCGGACCCGTCCAACCCTCGGGCCGGTCCCGGGCCCACTTTTCTTGAACCGGCGGCCCGGCCCGAATCCATCCCTACTCCTTACCGGTGGCTGGAGAAATCGGGATGTTTAAGAGTTCTTTTGATAATTATTGTGATCGTAGCAGGAACAGTCAATCTGCAAGTAGAGTCTACTTCTTTGCGGGATTAACGATTCGGCATTTTCGATTAGAATCGTTCGTTTTTATGTCTCGTTCCATTGTATCCTTGAGCTTTATGATTGTAATGTTTCTTGTCATCTTCATTAATAATAATTAAGTTGTTTGTTTTCAAAAAATACAAAATAAGCTAAAATGTCGCATGTTAGTACATTTTATCAATCTTAGCATTTTAAACAATACACATTGTCATTCACAACTTCTACATGCTCACAATTATCATGTAAGCAACTGCTCACATGGTGTGTAGTGACTACTAGGCTGCCAGCTGTGCAAGCGAGTCAAGCTATTGGTGAATCGCTGGTCAGAGCTTGACTCGGTACATCCATCCAAATTGAATTTCGAGCATGCTACCTTGTTCAAAAGTTGAGCTGATCTTGAGCATATACCTAGAGGTCGAAGCTTAAGTCTTTTTTTTTCAGAATTGCCGTTTTGTATACGCTATTTTACACGCCGGGCAGTTTGTATGTGCAATTGTGCGTGGACAAAATGTCCGGCATGTACAAATTGCGTATACCTGAAACAAAGTTGTTTTTTAAGCGGGTAGGTCTTTAACATACTTCTTTTAAAAAAATCATTTGATGGTCCAAACTCCAAAGTCAAACAATAGAAATGGATGGTTATTGGGGAGGGAGCACATAAGTACATGTGAATCATGTGGCTCGTGACTCTTTTATTTGTATCTTTTTATTTATTCATAAGAAATTGTTCTAAGTATGAATAAAAACGTTTTTGGATATCAAAATTGGGTTGTCATATTTTTATTACATAAATATGATTAATTATTGTCATGTTTTGACATTATTGGACTTTTAACATTGTAATATTTTCCAAATTTGATAGTAATTACCTCTATTTTGGAAATAAAAACATTGTATTCCTATCCCAAAATTCGAAAACGTTTTTACTCCAATTTCAAGAATTTTCTATTTATTCATTTATTGCATTTTTTGATAGGTATTTAATGAATTTTGTAAACAATCAACCATTTGAACAAAGGATATTATTGACATGTGCTCTGCCCTTGAAGCGGATCCCTTCTATGCGAAGAAATCGATATTTTTTGTTTTGCAATGCTCGTGAAGGTGAGGCCTGCACGCCAAGAGTCCAATCAAATTTATTGAACCCATCTAGACAAGGTAGAACACAAAATGGAAACTTTTAATTAAGCATTTTCATGACCAAGAAATTTAAGCATATGTTTAAACATTTTACCAATTAAAGTTTCTTTTCTAACATGAAAATTTCAAGTTGAAGTTTGTTTACTCCAGCTTGGCATTCCACATGTGTATTACAATATTTTTAAAGGGTTTCATCTTTACTTATTTTATATCCATAACATATAAGAGGGTAAGCTTGAGGGCAATCTCTATGCAATAAGATACTTAAGGTTGAAGGATAGATACCAAGTGACTTCTATAACTCATAAATATTCCTTCAAGTTGCTTTCAAAAGAGAAGGGAAGCACGTAAAATATAAAATGAAAAAATCCCTCCTTCATATTTAACCTTCCTATCTTTTATAGATTTGACACGAGACTATAGTAGATAAGTTCTCAATGCTTATTTTACAGATATAAGCTGTAATTACGAATCATTGACCTGATTTGAGGATGTTACTAGAGATTTGATTGCTTTATTTGAGGCTTATCTAATGTTGAAATTAAAATACAAGTATATCAAAATAATATTAGGTGGTGCTCTAAATATATTATTAGAACTCTCTCAAGCAAAATTATAGAGAGAGAGTGACAAATATTTTTAAGTTGTTATTACCATCTAAGATATTTTCTACTTGGGCCGGGGTTACGGCCCAATAAGGGGTTCATATTATATAAAGTAAGTATATTTTCAAACGGGTAACTCGGGGTACTTACAACCCATATTATACTATCACCTTAATTGAGGGTCTTGTGTTTGAGATACTCGTTGTATATCTATTAGATGACATCAACATCAATATTTTATAGCCCTATAGAGTACTGACCCATTCGGGGGCGTCCCGCCACCATTTCAGGTTGAGTCTGGAGCTTGTTTCCTGTACCCGTTGCTTGGGTGATTATCTCAGAGAGAAGACTTGGTTCGTGCTTTCTTCATTCTGTTTTGAACAATAATAAACTTGCTCAGGGATATTTTACTTTAGAGCCTGCGTGCTCATGCTTGCCCCGTGTGGTATTTGTTTTCAAACTATACTTTCCGTTACGTATTGAATTGCTCATTATGTTTGTTTTTGGATGTCTATGTGTGTATGATATTCATTTTGCGTTATATGATTTGGGTAAGGTTGACCATGCTTGACTTATCTAGATTGTATGGTGGTTGTTGACGTGTCCGGTGAGGTTCGGGACGTGACATGATTAGTTCTACATAGTATGGTATATGTGTGTGAGGGTTTACTAACAAATAATATGATCATATGCTAATACCTCTGCACAATTGAATCAGAATGTTTCATGATTGAACATTTTCTGATCTTTTAAGTTCCAAACTATTACTCCCTCCGTTCCTAAATAAACTTCCAACTTTCCTTTTTCGTCCGTTCCAATTAAAACTTCCACTTTCCCTTTTTGGTAAAGAATTTGTGGTTCACAACATTTCTTACACATTTCTCTCTCCTATGCACAACTCTCCACCACACAATATACACTATCTTAAACTTTGTGTCAAACTCATTTGGAAGTTAAAATGGGAACAGAGGTAGTAGATGATAAGTTAGGAAATTGTCTTTAAGAAAAGTGTGATAATAAAACAAGTGATAATAAAAGAAGACATCAACCTATTCATTAATATATGTAAAACACAGCATAATGTAGAAGATGAATGAAACAAGATTCACCATTTCTAATTATACTATTAAATGTAAAATACCAGAGATGCACACTAACAACAAAATAATTCATTTTTCTGAGATGAGAGGGGTGAAATATTGTAGGTGAATCGAAATCGTGGAGA